GTGGATTTTGTGAAAAGGTTTATGTAATTGATGGAAAATTCTTTGAGAAAACGATGGATTTTCACATGTTGTGTTGATTGGGATATCCATGGGATGGATGAGTTTTGTGTTGAGAAATTTATATGGAATAGCATGATTCTATATATGCTTGAACTATGAAAGGAAAGCAAATATTGATTGGGAATATGGAATGGTATCATATGTCACATGGATATAAATTTTTGATCTAATTTCAGAAGTAATGAATGTTGCATTTCACTTTGAGCAAATGTTGAGTATTGTGAAAAAATTATACAATGAAGCTACATAATTGCATCTCACTCCATTCATTTGCATAGCTTTGAATATTGTTTATTATGGCTATGTTTTGGAAATTGATGTATTGTTTTGAGATAACAATTGTTGATCTTGAAATGTCTTGGGGTAAATATGTTTGGAAAGATTAGATAGGGGGTGCGGTTGGTATTTTTTTAAGTTGGCGTGAATGTCTAGGGTAAAAAACCGAAAATACGCACGGAGTAGATATCACGTGCCTTTGGGTTAGGAGCCGATAAAGTGGGGATTGGTAGTACTTGATATGCCTACTTATGGACACCAGTCTAAAAATTTCCTCAATCGTATTTACCACCCTGGATGTTACATTTAAAATTTATTGTGATAATGAGCTTTTTGAAAAGAACATTGTATGTGATTTTTTAATGTTCTTTTCAAAAAGAACAAAGATATGGATTTTTGGAGCATGGCATTGCATGTCATACATATTGTGAGACTGCTTAAATATATAGACTTTGTTAAGATCTCTTTATTAGGTTTTGTGCTCACCCATAGTGGATTTGTGTAGGAAATGATGTGATGATTCTGCCTAGCCAAAGACAAGGAATGTGTTTTAAGAGCATGAGTTTTTTTTTTTTTAAATTTTTTTTATTTGATTTTATTTTGTTGTGTATCTTGACAAGCCGAGGGCTTCACGTGTATGGTTTTTTTTTTTGGATAATCATATTTTGTGTGACTAAGTTTAAGCCTTGGAACTTGTAACTCTTGGAGGCATTCTTTTGGGTTATTCCTTTTGTTTTAATCATCGCACATGCTATGAATTTATGCTTCACGAAGATTGAATATGTATTGCATGTGGACCTCTTCTAAATCTCTCATATGAACTGAAATGCAAACGTAGAGATTGATTAATTGAGTTAGATTGTTTAAATTGCAAGACATTAATCAAATTTACTTTATGTCATTTATTTGGGGGCTTTACATATGCGTTCTTTACACTTTCATGCCATAGGTTTTTTAGCATATGCTCTACGAGCACATATTTGAAATATTAATTGACTTTTATAATATTAGTGAAAATATATACTATTCATCCCATTGTAGGGTAATGCTCTGGTGTGCAATGCATATCGTATGTAATCTTATGACAAAATTACGTAAGTTGAATATAAATTCGTACAAGTTTACTTTTGTAAATAAACTTACTCGAATTTGTATTTAATTTATGCATTTTTGTGAGATCGCTTCTGTGTGCATTGCACATCAAAAAATTACGTGATTTTATGGTAAGATTACATATAGTGTGCATTGTACATCAGAAAATTTTTCTACCTAAACTATTATTACTAGGAGATTATGAAATTTACAACGAATATGAATATCTCTTCGTTTCAAAAAATGGATCTAATTTATTTAAGAGCCAAATACTAATAAATGTTTTTTGGAGTATTGTTGAATGTTAAAAAAGATTAGGTTTTTTTCACGTTTAAATATTAATTTGAGAGAATTTGAATATTAATTTGAGAGAATTTGAAGGGCTTGCAAGTAGTTATGACTTCAAAAATTTTAATGGATGGAGTTATTCACAAATATTCATTCTATCAAATACATAAGAAAAATGCAAATGTTTTGGGCCATCAATTTTGGACTTCCAAACCAAAATTATGACACATCACTTGAGAACGTCACTAAAATATAAAAATTATCCAATGAGCTCTTTCCATGTCAATGTGGTTGATATGATATTAGGGACCCACAATTATTGGGATATAGTACTATTACTCATAAGAAAAAAAACTTCCCTTGTGCTAACATTCAAGTTTTCATTACGCTTGCACACAAACAACAAACTAAATTAAATATTCTAGTCATAAGTAGAAGAATTTTTTTAAAAATATATATATTCATATTATTGTTTCAATAATTTAACTCGGTGGGATTTCATATTTTAAAAATGTTGAATAGTAATATCATTGTCAACTATATCAAACGTCTTTTTTTGATATATGTGATCAAATAGTCATTTAAACAAAATATAATATTTATAACTTGTTAAAGTTTTGAACTCAAAGAAGAAAAAATCAAGACTTCAGATCCTTTAAGTGTGTCATTAGCTTACCATATTTTATGTTTTTCGGTTTAGGGATTTCGGCATTGGTTTTTTGAAATTATATATTTACTTCGAAACTTAACTTTCGAATAAAAGTGATTTGTTCAACAAATTTGTTTTGAAAAAAAATAAAAAAAACTTTCGGCAGTTGATGTCCGAATATAATGACATAATTCGACTTTGGTTGTCTAACTGAAAACTGCGATAGAAAAAAAAAAAAGTTTTGTAAGAAAAAACTAACATTTTCATCACTAATAGAGTATAAATCTAGAGATTAAAGCAATATGAGAGTTGTTATGAGAGTATTGCTTTGCAAGTAATAGATGAATATAGTGTGTGTAGAAAGCAAAGTGATAACAATGAAAAAATTAGAATTTAGGTTTTTTTTAAAAGATGTGTACAGAGAATATTTTTATATAATATTATAGGTGCTGGTAGATGTCCATTATAGTCATTTTAGTTTAGGATATAATTGCTATTAAAATAATATTTCATTAAGTATGTACACCGAGATAATTAGGTGTGTGTAAATAGAATTTCCCTCACACTACAACATTTTCTTAGTTTAGTGACATTTGAAAGTGCCACAAAACTATTGGTTTAATGACATTTTTTAGTCTTGTGGCATTTTGAATAAGTGCCATTTGTATCCGTGCCACGGTAGATACTAGTGCCGCGGTAGATACTTGCAAGTGTCACTGCACCATCATGGCTAAAAACTTTTAATGACATTTTAATGTCATGGTAGATATTATTAGTAGACTATCAAGCGCCATTAAAAAAAGAGTTAGTGACACTTATAAGTGTCATTACACCATCAAGACTAAAACTTTTCAGTGACACTTTAATGCCATGGTAGGCACTATTCGTGACGCTATCAAGTGCCATTAAAGAAGACTTGCAATCTAAAAAATGCCACAATATAGATTTTTAATGACGCTTATTATGCCACAATTGATATTTATAACACCTTCATAAATGCCACTAAATCCAATTCATTTGTGCCATTAAATAGATATAAGTGCCATTGGAATTTATTTTAGTGACACTTTGCAAAACTACTATCACTACTACAAAATGCCACTTATATATTTTTTTCATTGACACTTTTAAAAGCTACAATTATGCATGCGTAAATACCTATAAAAATTGAATCAATTTTATAAACAATTAAATATTAATTGCCACATCATATATTAATTTGACATCCATTCATTTGACATCCATTCATCATGTAATATTTTCATAATAATAAACAAATATTACCACCACAAGATCATCACATCAAAAATAAAAAAAATTCAAAGCACAATCAATTATTTATTATTGAAATATAAATTTATTTATATTGCAAAAAAAATCCCTTGCCAAAATTATTAAATATTCTACCACACTAACAAAGTTAAAGCAAAAACAATTTAAAAGAAAATTATTCCAACCATAAGTTCTGAAAAGCCATAGTGATATGCATATTCCGAAGAGAAAAATTATCAAAAATAAAATCAGTTCCCAAATTTTCAACCTCACTTGTATAAATATTCTTGGCTAGCATCCATAACTTATGAAATCTGCATCCAAAAGATAAACATATGAAGGTAATTGAAACTATATTAAGTTAATATAAATTTGTTAATAAAATTAGTATTTACGAAAAAAATATACCACAAATGGAGCAGGCCAAGCAACATGAGCTCCAATAGCTTGTCCAATTGTTTTGACAAGTCCATATGATCGGATCAAGCTCTCATTAGGTTTGATTGGCACTTGAACATGTACCTCCCAATAGTCAAGTCCCAATTCTTCCCCTTCTACTTCTTTAGATGCGTCTGTGCTTTTAAGTACTTCGACTGCAACTGTTTCTGTTGGCCTAATGATACTTTTTAGAACAACTATATCTCCCACCTGTAAATCAAGATTTAACTACTTAAGTAATTGTATATTTAAAATTAATAAATAATAGTTAAAAAAAACTAGTACAAAGTGCTAGAGTGAAGATGATCACAACTGAAAGTGATATGGATTTCTCTAGTAGATAAGCAAGCCAAATGCTTTAATCACTTAATTGGTTCACTACACTACAACAAATTATATAAAAGTAACAACCGTAAAACTTTAGACCATATCAAACAATAGCTTCAAAAATCAATAACAACCAAAAGCACCAATCAACGACAATCAAAACCATGTCCATTATCAATATCAGGATCACCTAACCTCAACGATGTAAATCAAATGTAATTGTGAAAAATAACAATCAATTAATTACTTTCAAGCAATATTTTGAGAGAATCAAAAAGAGCCCATGCGGTAATAAATGATGGAGACATGTCTTGTTAAAGCTTTAGAAGAAAATTAAATTAATTTTTTTTAAAAAAATAGCACAAACTTCGTCATGTCATGATTTAGACTATGTAGCACATTTTGTCCAGATTTAAATAATGAAATTTATGTCCGCAATATTCATTCCTTGGTTAATTGTAAAATAAGTGTTGCATGCTATTCTAAAATAAAGTTGGAAGTAATGTGATATATATGATTAGCTCTTAGTAGGTACCTGAGTAAGAGAAGTATCTTGTATCGACGACAAAGACCATGCTTGATGTCGAGCTGTCATGTCGAGAGGAGTAGAAGTTGTTGTGGCCTAACCAAATTTGAACTATTTAATTTTACAAACACACACACATAGATATATGTATGCATATATAAGTGTAGGAAAACATTTATAACTTATAAATTCTATTAAAAAAATTACCTGATTAGATGTGTTTGTCAAGTTATTCGGAGCATGCTGAACATGGGAAACTTTGGACCTTAGCTCCAAATTTTCAGCTTCCATAACATCCATTGTTGTGTCTTGGTTTGCTTTATGACCAGATGTATCTCTCCATAAATTAGACGGGGAGACACCTAATCCATACATGCGAACTCGTCTATGTTTTTCTTTACCCATCACTTGTCCAAATGCATCATTTGGGCCCTTATTTGATAAATTTGCATTTAAGGTTGTCCTCTCATTCATTTCATCCTATAAGGTTGCAAAAAACATAACTTAATATATACATTTCAATAACTCAACACTATAATGTGAAAAATTTAGCTAATCTACAATTTCAAATGGACATAATTATTTGGTACATACTATCATTGCTTTCGTTGCCTCAGGGGTTCCTGTCTCCTTTGTATAACATACTTTAAACATGTGAGCACGAGTTGGAGAGTGTCCCAACTTATTTTTCTACAAAATAATATATTCCAAAATATAAATTATATCATTATGTCACATTATGTATACCTTATCATATTAAATATACAACATGAAAAGATGAATTAACCTGCTCCTTTCGAACACGTGGAAAACTTTTCGTTCCAGTAGTATGATTATACTTTCGCTCTGCACAACTTGCTTTGTTTTTATCACTTTGGGCCTAAAATTACAAATGCATAAATTAATGGTGTCCAAACTACAGCAAGTAAAATAACATATAATGATCAGATCAAGTATACCTTTACTTCTTCGATTGCCCAATACTTAATAAGGTGTTCCCACTAATTAGCATATACTCTACTATCTTTATAATGCTTTTGTTCGTCAAAACTCAAGTGGTTCTTATAATAATTTTTCTTTAAGTTTGCCTTCCAGTCTTTTAACTTCTTACTAGAGCACTTCATAACCCAGTTCTTAGCATGACTTGGAAGATCAAACTTTGACTGAGAAGAGAGAGAAAAAGAGAGAGAGAGAGAGAGAGGGAGAGAAGAATACAATAATAAAAAATTAATCTTCCCACATAAAAAATTAAAAATAAACAAAATTATAAAGAGTGTTGTTTTAATCACATTACTCATGTTTACTATTTTTCACATGTGAGCATCTTTCGCACAATATTGTGTCATTTACCTGTACAAGTGCCCATATGTGATCTTTGTAATGTTCTGGGACTTTATGCCAATTCTTGTAAGTGAGTGGTGCATTTTTCCCATCACGCACAATAGTTCCAATGAATGATGATAACTTTGTTGCCAATTTGTCATCAGGTTGGCCAAGTTTGTTCCAATTGACTGTTAGGCGCTCATCATCACGAGTACCCCAAATATTACGCATTTGCGTGGGACCTCTAGTTTTCTTTTGTCCACTAGCACCATCTAGTTATAAAAATAATAATAATAATAATACTAATAATAAATTATATACGAAGAAATAATAACATTTTTATAAGGTTTGAACTTGCATACCTGCATTATCATAGGGTTGACTAGAATTTGGTTGTATCTCAGATGGAGTTGACTCACTAAACTCACCAACATTGCCTGAGCGAAACTGAAGATATGGGTCCATAGGCTTTTTGCTTTATAGATGAATCCTAGTATGATTCAAGTAAAATAGACAAATCAAATTGTAAACTTAGAATGATCCAAATAAATTATTTGCAAATGAACAAAATACTTGAAGAAAATTAACAACAAAAAAAAATTATGAATTCACCTTTATTGCGTTGCTATCTTGGTAGTGACTAAATGTAATATATAGTGAATAAATATTTTGTAGCCACATATGAAAATCACATAGTTAAATTACAAACGCATTATTCATTCTTCAAACAATCAATTAAATTAACCAAAACAATGATAAAGAAAGAGAACAAAATGAAACTATAGAATTGTTTTCAAATATAAATAACTAGCAATGCTCAATAAGTTTAACAGTCACATAAGATCTAATTCTTCCTCATCTCCATCATCATCTTCATCACCATGAACATTGGTGTCTCTCAACACCTGAGAAAGTGGTGCATCTACAATTGCAGCAGACATGTCTGACCGAACCAAATCAAAATTATTGTCCCCATCACCACTTTGTGTATTGTATACAACACTCAGCAAGTATGCCTCCACATTGTTCACAAAAGACCCCGCATTCATATCATAAAAATCTCTCGGATTTATCTTGATAGCAACTTGCCAATCTTTATGTTTCAGGTCTTCTACATACATTACCCGTTCTGCTTGAGAAGCCAACACAAAAGGCTCAGCATCTTTCATTAATCGTGCAAAGTTGACTAGTGTACAATCTTTATCTTGTCTTTTCCCTGATTGTGACACCCATTCACCTTTAAATAACACAACCCTCTTCCCAAACAAATAATCTAACTCAATTATATCTGTTAACACGCCATAAAATGTAACATCTCCAGAAACCGGATTTCCATCTCTACCACTTGTAAAGCTTTGTGTTTTTGCTGTGACAATAATCCCACTATTTTGAGTTTTTCTCTTTCGCTCAATCTCCTTAGTATGGAACCTAAAACCATTTATCAAGTATCGCTTATATTTTGTGAAAATTCTATTTGGACCATGAGCCAAACATCTAAGCTCTTCAGTTATTTGACTGCATTATGTAATTCCTCAACCTGTTTTCAGACAATTGACGACATAACTTTTGTAAGTGTGGAATGAAATTGAAGTTAATATCAAATCAAATTTTAAGGAACTTCAAAACACTGCTTACATGTTTATCAAACCATGTTGGAAATGTTTCACTATGAATGCGATCAATGGCCATTTCACGAAGACGTGGATTTTGTATGGAAACAAGTCTACGGTGTTGTCTGTATGCCATATAAAAGATTTGTAAGTGTGTGAAAAAAGTATGTAAAATAATAATAATAATAATAATAATAATAATAACAATAATAATAATAATAATAATAATAATAATAATAATGAAATTGATTACAGATGTCGAGTGTCTTACTCAATAAATTTGTTGACTGTCTCACAATTAAATAGCACATATCGATGTGCCTTTTCTTTTGTGCCATCATCCATTGTGTCTATAACGCCCTTACCTAATGGTCGGCCAGGCATTGAGAAAATAGATAATCCTTCGGTACCATTACCCCCCTCATCATAATTTTGAGACATCTGGTTGAATCGTGTCTCAACACCTTCCATATACCTCGAGCAAAATGTCAAGCATTCATTTGCAAGGTATCCTTTTGCCATACTACCCTCCGGTCGACTTCTATTTCGCACATATGACTTTAATCTACTCAAGTACCTATGTTTTGGTAAGTTAAAAAAACAAAATTTTGAATGATGTTGGATAATAACAAAAGTAAAATATAATAATGATGGTAAAGAAATATGTGATTTAATATAAACTTTACCTCTCAACAGAATACATCCAACGATAATGCACAGGTCCTGCTAATCTAGCCTCAGATGCTAAGTGAACCACCAAATGCACCATAATGTCAAAAAAGTTAGGGGGAAATATTTTTTCAAACTTACAAAGTGTTATCGGAATTTGCCTTTCAAGACGCATAAAGTCTTGTGCCAAACCAACTTTAGAACATAACTCTCGAAAGAAATTACTCAACTAAATCAAAGGTGAAGTTACATGTGAACTCAACATTCCTCGAATTGCTAAAGGGAGTAATTGTTGCATCAAAATATGGCAATCATGACTTTTAAGTCCAAAGATTCTACATTGCTTTAAGTCGATGCATCGTGAAATATTTGCTGCATAACCATTAGGAACTTTAACAGTCTTCAAAAATTTACAAAAAACATCTTTTTCTTGTTTCTTTAATGAGAAACAAGAAGGAGGCAAGATGGTTTTATTTGCTGCATTTTCTTTTGGATGGAGTTCAGGCCTTATACCTTGAAGTTTCAAGTCAAGACGTGCATTTAGATTATCCTTTGTCTTCCCCTCTAAATTCAGTAGTGTTCCAAGCAAGCTCTCACATACATTTTTCTCAATGTGCATCACATCAAGATTGTGACGCACTAGATTATCCTTCCAATATGGTAATTCAAAGAATATGCTTCTTTTCTTCCAATTATATGGTAATTCTGGATTAGTACTCATCTTTCCATAAGTGATATTGAAGCCATGTAACATATCCAATACCATAGAACCAGTTAAAGGATTGGGTCCAGTTCTTTTTTCTTTAGTACCATCAAAAGATCGCTCATCATCTTGAAATGCATGATGTTTGTCCAAGAATCGACGATGATCCATGTAACAATGTTTTCGGCCATGCTTCAACCACTGGAAGCATGTGTCTTTGTGGCATGAAAGGCATGCATACTTCCCCTTAGTACTCCACCCTGACAAATAAGCATAAGCAGGGAAGTTGCTGATAGTCCACATTAATGCTGCACGTAATTGGAAATTTTGTTTAATTGATGCATCATATGTCTCTACTCCATCCACCCATAATTCCTTTAATTCATCTATTAAAGGTTCCAAATACACATCAGTATTATTTCCAGGTGCACTACGACCAGGGATAATCAATGATAATATAAATTTGGTCTGCTTCATACATGTCCATGGAGGCAAATTATATGGTATAAGAATTACAGGCCATGTGCTATATGTGTTGCTCAATGTTCTGAAAGGGTTCACACCATCACACGCCAACCCAAGTCTGACATTTCTACAATCTACTGCGAAATGAGGATGTAGGTGGTCAAAAGTCATCCAAGCTGGAGAATCGACAGGATGTCTCATACAACCATCATTGGTGCGACCTTCTTTATGCCACTTCATAGATGATGCTGTTTTGGATGACATGAATAACCTTTGTAGCCTTGGTATCAAAGGAAAGTAATGTAGAACCTTAGAAGGTGTTTTCTAGCTGCCTTTTTTAGAGGATGCCTTGTTGCCTGAATCATTTTGCTCTGTTACATACCTAGATGTATGGCAAACATAACATTCAGAATCAGTTTTGTGCTCATTCCTATACAATATGCAATCATTGGGACATGCATGAATCTTCTCATAACTAAGTCCTAACTCCATGACTATTTACTTAACTTCATAAACAGTATTAGGCAGTGTTACACCCTCTGGGAATGCTTCCTTCAATAACTCTAATAACATGGTGAACGATTTATTACTCCATCCACCTAAATTCTTGATATGAAATAACTGAAGGATGAATGAGAGCTTTGTAAAATTCCTACATTGTGGATAAAGCTCCTTTTGTCCATCATGCATCAACTTGTAGAACTTCTCTGCTTGTGGATTTGGTTTATCTCCCAAATCTTCATGGTTGTCTCCATTGACTCTATCATCGCCATTTGAGATTCCAAATTCCTCGTGTACTAATCCATGTGTATCAATATTTAATTGTAGCCTATTCTGCATGTGCGTATCAAGACCTGTTGTAGTAACAGATGATGCTTCACCATGTAAAACCCATTTAGTGTAACCCTTTGTGAAGCCATCACATACTAAGTGATCATATGCAACTGACCGAGTGACGGGAAGTGTAAGTCCACACTTGATGCATGGACATATGATCTTATCCTCATAACTTGCATTAGTAAATGCAAAATTGAGAAACATGTCAACTCCTTTCTGGTATGCATCACTTAATCTTGATTGATACATCCATGTCTTATCCATAAGTAAACAATCTCGATTAAATAAGTGTCCAAAGTGTTTCTAGAACATTAAAAATGTATATATCAATAACAAGTATTTGTAAGTTACGATTGACAAAAACAACTAAACTTTATTTTACAAGAACTATAAGCTACTAACAACAATGTAGAACATAACTCTAATAATATATTGGTGCATGACTATAAGCCAACTCATGTCAAGAGAAAACATGTAAAAGAATTTAAGTATTACAAAGTCAATACAATATCATTATTTCAATAGCAATTCATTCTATATATCAGTGTAAGAAAATGACATCAAGGTTCTATACCGATTACATCTAATTAGTAACCAGTAAATTAGCAAAATAGCACATGTTGCTATTGAAGCTAGGATTGATTCAAAATTTTGGTTTTTTAATTCGATTACTTCATGATTGTGAACAGCTGGTGTTCTATGTGTTCACCCCTGCACTTATTGTTAGCAATCTGTCCAGTACAATCAAAGCAACCGATATAGTTTCTTTGTGAGTAGATTCTCTATTTACCTTCTTCTTCTTCTTCTTTTTAAAATTCCTCTTTATTTTGCTGTTTAATTTTTGGGTTTAATGTGTAGGTGGTTCATGCCTCTGAATATCCTCCTCACATTTATTATTGGTTCAGCACTTGGATGGATACTTGTTAAAATCACCAAAACTCCTAAACATTTTCATGGCCTCGTGATTGGTTGCTACTCTGCAGGTACATCAACATCTCCAAAAAATTTGCAAAAATATTTCTCTTAAATTGTAAATGTGTATTCACTTGGCCGTTTAAAACCTTGTACCCGTGGATAGTTGTGGTGCCAACCTTGGTAAATTTTAAAGTCTACTTAGGTGCTGTTAGGGAACAACACAAAAAAATAAAAAATTCACTTCAAAAAGTCAACCCATTCTTTCTACTATTTTACACGCTTTTTTTGTAAAAAAAAATTAAAAAACCACTAAAAATAGCCTCTCGAGTTGTGAGAGTTATTGTTTTGTTTGCTTGTTTCCTAGGCTCTCGGGTTGTGAGAGTTTCCTTTTCTAGAACGTTGCGTAGGATATATTTTTTAGCCTCCTATTGTCAGAGAAAGCTTTTTGGTTTTCTGGGCAATTTTGGAGTGTCTTCAAATGTCTTTTATTTTTTGTAATAAAAGAAAAATTTAATCAAGATGTCCTTACAAGGCTTCAATGTAATCAAATTGACCCACTAGATGATTCAGTTGATTCCAATTATTTTTGAGATGTGGTTGTGCAGAGTAATGCAAAGGGAGAGGATCTGCACTCAAGTGACCAGTAGAAACCTATTGTAGACTTCAATTTTTAACTTTAAAAAAAAATAATGATAATAAAAATTGGAGGAAGTAATATGTATTAATTTAACATGGGTATATTTACAATTTGATTTCTAATTACTTATAGAGCAGCCGAGAACCTTATCCTTTGACAAGTGCTGATTTTCAATAAGATTAAGAAGTATGTGAAGATTTTTGTGGAAAAGATCAACTTGAAAATGTTGTTTGCACCATCAACCATTGCATCCGTACAATCCTGTTGAAGTTTATAATATTTTTCAAGAGTTACATCCGGTATATCTACAATTTGATTTCTAATTACTTATAGAGCAGCCGAGAACCTTATCCTTTGACAGGTGCTGATTTTCAATAAGATTAAGAAGTATGTGAAGATTTTTGTGGAAAAGATCAACTTGAAAATGTTGTTTGCACCATCAACCATTGCATCCGTACAATCCTGTTGAAGTTTATAATATTTTTCAAGAGTTACATCCTTGTGTTGCTAATCAAGTAGGTTGTTCAATTCTTTCCCCTAGCTTAACATTTGTTGTTGTTTTGTGTCACAGATTTTTGGGCTTTTGATTGGAGTAATCACACCAATAAGGAAGATTATGATTGGTGATAATGCCCCTCTTCATGTGCTCAAGAGTTCTGCATCTTTGTTGGGGTATGTATCTTACTGCTGCAAACTTTTTGATTTCATTTGGATAGTGAGTTGCAAATGAAAGGATTTTGAGATTAAATTTGGATGAAAATTTAATAGAGTGAACGATTATAGATAGATTGAGAAACTCAAATAGAAGATTAAATAGAGTAAAAATATATGTATTTAAATCCACTAAGGTAAAGCTCTCAATTTCAATTTTGAAACCCATATCTAAACTATCACATTTAACAGACCTTCAAATTTAAAAATTTGAAAGGTCTGTTAGACAGATACACAGTACAAAGGACTTCTTCTCAAACCAGAAAATTAAAAAATTTCAACTAGTAGAGCAAGTGTCAATAAATCGAGCTGTGTACAGCACAAAAAATTAAAGGCATGCCAGGTTGGTGTACTAGAGTCATCAATCTTTGCACACATCAAGGTAAGATGATAAGTTATAATGTCAATGGACAAGCAAAATAATAAAGCCCTATTTTTCAAGAGAATAACCATATGAATGGGAATTTTAATGAGACAGGAACATTCATGCTTGCTCAACAACAACAAATCAATCCATTATACCAATGTGAGGATTATTATACAATTCAACAGTCCAATACAAGTCAAGTAATCTTAGGCTGAAATGCTGTGGACTACTGATATACTGGGCTGTACTAATATATGGTCATGAGGCTAATTGTTTTGTGCTTGTATGGTGAACTGATTTAATCAAATCGAATTAAGTAGTTGATTTTTGTGCTGTGATTGACCTTACTTAAAGTAGTTGAGTATCTATAAATGATTTGGTATTTAGCCTGCAGCAAGTGAGGTATTGCATCAGAAATGGAGGTATTGCTCTGCTGTCAGGTATGGAAGCAACTACCTACTTTTGAGTCTGCTGATTGTGGTGTTGCTGCTGCTTTTGTTCCAGATTCTATATGGAAGCAGCTAGCTGCAAGTTTTGGTGATTATTAAATAGGATAGGTGGCTTAACTGATTTGCTGGTCTGATATGCTAAGTTGTGGGTAGATCTTGTTGTGCTTTTGTTGTTGACGTGTTTTCTTCGGTCTCTTTGGTCAAATTTTGCCTCAGGTTTGGTGTGGCCTTGTCTGGTTGCTGAGTCCAGTGACTGATCTGGGTTGCTGATTTTGGTGGATATTTGTTTTCCTATTCATATGTACTGATTCTACTAATTCTGCTTCTGCTGCCTTTTGCTTGTTGGCTGCTTAGGTTGTGGTCTGTTGGTCTGCTAAGTTGGTCTACTTTGTTCTTTTTGATTTGGTGGCTATTATTTGAATTGGCTTGTCTATCTATCTGTGCTGATCTCTGTTTGGCCTGTTGGTCTGCCAAGCATCCTATTATTTGATTTGGTGGCTGTTTTGGTGACTGTTTTTTAGGTTTGTTTGGTGGATTAAAAGAACTAACTAGAACTATAAGGTATATATCTTATTTTATGATAACCCAAGCTGGCCTTGTTGGTTAAGCCAGGTTGACATTGGCAAATTGTCAATGGTCTAAGGCTCTATACAATTGCATCTAATAGAAAGCTATAGTCATGGCCTAGTGCAGTGCAGATGCTGATCTTTGTGTAGGAATCTTTATGTTAATTAGGGTGGCATGTGCAAAAGTGATGACAAACTAGGCCCATGTTCTTTTACATTGTAGAGTGGAAACAGAGTTATGGGACTTAAGCTTCTTAATATTTTGGATCTTTTAGGTTTTTTCCAGAGTGGTGAAATTCATGCATATGTGGAGGGGCGGCTGTGTGGGGAAGAGATTCAAGAAGAAGAGCATGGCTTTGTTGATGATTAGATTGAACCTGGATCAATTTCTTGACTTCGTTTATGATTTAGTTTTGTAAGGTGCATATGGTTTTGTTGGGTTATTTGTGGCTCGAGTATAAGTTTAACACAACGATTTAATTTTCCAAACTTATATTTAATTGCTTTGTTTGATGAATATTGAATGATACTTGACTTGCTATTTGGTTTTCTTTTGGAGGGCCATATTCTTGACACCCCCACTCGCGCCGCCATCCCCCATGGCGAGTGGGCCTCCTCATTTCCCTTTTTTATGCATTTTATTTCCTTTAATTTTTTGTTTTATTGATCTATATTCATGCCTTTTGTAGTTTGTAGATCACTGTTGTACAGAACAAATACCCTGTGTACATCAGTGATTTATTTTATTTTTTCAATAGCCAAAGTTCTCTCTCTGCTTAGCATCTTTCAGAAGGTTCTAAACCTTAGTTTAGCAGCATCTGGGAGATAAATACAAAGATATATCTTATTATGCATGCTCTAATAACCCTTACCTAATGTAGTGTTGCTATAGTTTTTATTATTATCTATTATTTAGTTTTTTAGTTTTTTTAGTTTTTTTTTTTCTCTTCCCTTCGGTGAAGTATTCTGAATTCTGATTACATCCATTGGTAGATGCATCTTTCTTAAATTTGATTGTGTCCACTGGTAGATGCACCTATCTTGAATGAAATTCAATTCTTGGTCTAATCAAATACCCAATACTTCACTTATGTGCCCCTCTTTAATTTATACCACTTTTTAATACTTAATATATGTTTTGCACCCAACAGACAATAATGACTCCATGATCTAATAGAATTCATTTTTTACAGGGCAATACTAGTATAATCTCAATTCGTATACTATTTACAGATAATGTAGCTTGGAAATTTAATAATTCACCTTGACAATCACAAGAAAGAGAATCATTGTTATTATTATTTTCATTTTAATGATAAGCTAGCCTATAGAAACCTCACAAATCATCAACATCTACCACTTATGAATCTTAATAAACAATAATAAGTTCATCAACGAAACTACTTTATAAGTATACCTTGAGGGTTAAACTAAGAAACTTGACCACATAGTCTGGTATACTGATGCTTGTTTATGTGATCTAACTGAGTAATTTGTAAAAAAAAAAACCAGAGCAACCTAATGCAAAATCTCACTGAAGCATTTAAACAAACACTTGCAAGACATTATATACAATCACAACATAAATACAATAATAGTAAATTACAACTAACCTTTTATATTAAAAGATGAAAATTAATAAATTCATGAGTTACAAAATTAGATTTTCAGATTGTATGAAGTTATATGCCTAAAACAAGAAGATCATAAAAGATAGAGGTATTGTGTGTGTTTGATGAGAATGAGAAAGAGAGAAAGAATACCTAATGAACTCTGATCGTAGAAGATGAAAACACAGGAAATTTGTGGTGTAGATGGTAGATAAGGATGGCATTTGATAAACCCTTGCTTCATGATTTGGCTCCCGGCTCTTTAACCGGCAAAAATCAAATTTACTTCACCAATTTCAGAATTTTTGGACTTCCTTCTCTGTCTCTATGGCAATCTGGTATGCAGATTTTGCTATATCAAATTTAGTTTGTTTCTTCAGTTTCGTTATTTACTTTGTTGTATAACATAAAAGGGAAAAAAAACTTATCTTAAATTAAAAAGTAAATATTTGGTCCTTATATTTTTTATTGATGTCACGACCCGCTCTCCGTACCTAAGGGTTAAGCATCGTAATGGCCAGTAACTAAGGTTACCTCCGGCCAATTCTTACACAAATCAATAAACGCGAGCGGAAGTATTATTTAAATGAGGGTATCAAAATAATCATTAGAGCTTCTATTTTTATTACAAAATATATTGACCAAAAATGCCGATATTTACATAGAAAAATATCATAAAAGTGCTGTGTGTGTCTATTCCACAGCTCCGCATCTAAGACTTTCCAAAAGCTATTTCTCAATTGCATTATTTCCTGAAAATTGGTAAACAACTATAAGCACATGGCAGAGTGAGAAATATTATACCAAGAGTACAAGGGACACGAAATAACCATGGATAGTTAGTTAGGCCAAAACATTTGAGATAGCTTAGTCGAAACAAATAATCCTTTAAGTAGCAAAACTGAGATTATTTTCATTTAAGTGGCAGAAACTGAAATACAGAAATTATGTAAATATATAGTCATAACCACGGTACAGAACAGAACAGAACAGATGTCACAGAAGTGACAGTCAGAACAGAGGTACGGATTCAAGAGGTGGCTCATACGGATTCTAGAGGTGGCTCCTACAATAGTGTAGTACTTAGCTTCGCACAACACTTTGGTCCGCACAGAACAGAGGTATAGACTCAAGAGGTGGCTCGTACGGATTCTAGAGGTGGCTCCCACAATAGTGTAGCACTTAGCTCTGCACAGCACTTTGGTCCGCACAGAACAGAGGACCATAAAGTGGTCAAACAGAAGACCACAAAGTGGTCAAACAGAGGCCAATGGTTATTTAAGTCTCCCAAAGCATGGGACTCCCGTGGTGGTATTTACAAAACATAATTGTACGTAAGGTCATAGCCAAATATTATTTAAAATATAAACAAACATATCCATGAGTTTCCTTTTAAGCAAATAGGGTTCAGAAATAAAATCACGTAACTCAAATGTTTATATAATTTATAATAGTTTATAAAACATAACTTGTATAAAATAAATATGGTAAGTCAAAACATAAGTAAAATACATTTTGATAACTCAAGATATAATACAACTTATCTTAACTTTAATATTTTACTCTTTCTTTCCATTATCAAAGACCCTTTCAACTTCAATTATTTTTTCCTTCATTTTTCCATTCTTTCTCTCCTTTCTTTCTTTCTTTCTTTTCTTTCTTTTCTTATTTCTTTCTTTCCTCACCAAGCCGAATCACCTCCTTTTATACTAGGGAAATGCTTGCCCAGCAAGCTTAAAGTGCACACGTGGCCAGTCCCCAATTCATCCCACAGATTTTGATAATAATTCCATAGATTTATTCTTATCCGAAATAAATATTTAAGATAATTACACTTTGACCCAATATTTTAATATAATTATATAAATAAATTAATTTCTAATTAAATTACACTTTATTATATACCAACATAAAATTAATTATTTATTTTACTACCACACCCATTATTATTATTATTATTATTATTTTGACCCCTAAACTTTTAATAATTATATTATTCTACAAAATTACGCATAATAATATATAATAAATTATATATTTTTCGAACTGAGATAAAATAATATTAGTATAAATTCTACAGAATAATTAAAAATCTAGGTTGTTACAATTGAATCACTTGTAACTTGTAATTTTTAATTTTGTGTCAATTTAGTGTAATTAATAATACTATTAATATTTTTGATAAAAAATTATCACTGAATTTGTTGTGGTTAACTTAACGAGTTGAGCAAATTTATTATTCTAAAGTACGACATATGTCACTTATATGCATATTTGTCATTTAAAATATGGGTAAATTGACACCCCCTGAGATTTATGTTTATTACAGTTTCCCCTCACTGTTTGGAAATTACACCTCCCCTTGAGATTTAAAGTTTCATTACAGATTCCTCCTCAACAATTTAATTTTTTTAAATACCAATTTTGCCCTCACTAGGTAAATTACATTGATACCCCTCACATTTTAGAAATTATAATCCCCTCCCTTAGGTTTAAAGTAGCATTACCAATTGCCCCATCGTTTAGCATTAGTTGGAAAAAAAAATTAATTAAAAAAAAATTTATTTGAAAAAAAATTTTGTTAGTAAATTTTTTAAATTTATGTTTAAAAATCAACATAAACTCATTTTTTGAATTTATGTTTTTTTCTCAAATTTACAAACGGAGACAACAATTTATAAACCAAAAAAAAAATATCAAACAAGTTTTTATAACAGTTTTTAAAATTTTTGTAAATATAAATTGAAACTGAAAGCGAAATGGTTACCAAACAGGCCTCAGATGATAAAAATGTCGTAAAATTAATAAATAATTAAATAAGTTACCAATGTAAGAAATGACTTATCAAAAGATTCTTAGGCTATGTATAGTTTGATTTTTAGAAAAATAAAATTTAAAAATTAATTTAGTTAAGAAATAAAAAATAATCTAAATTGTTGGGTAAAATCTAAAATTAAGTGTCAAAAGTGAATCAATTAAAACTATACGGAAGAACAAAATGTAAGGATTATTGATGTAATTTACCCAACAATTATTAGCAATTGAAAGAAATTGAGATAAATTCGTAAATTCAGAGTGAAAATCGAGTTAATTGAAACTAGAAGGACTAAGATTCATGAAACTTTATCATTGTACAAGAGAGCAATTTGGATTTTTTTTTCCTGTTTAGTCATATAAAGCCGTTGATCAATTTTATACATGTAACAAGTACAGTTAAAAAAATATGTTATATTGAGTTTAATTTATTTTGTTCATTTTAAATTTTTTGAAAATATATTGTCATTTTTTGTTTTTCCAAAAAATGCCATTATATAGCTTGGAAAGTTTTTGGCTTAGTGACATTTTTCAAAATGCTATAAATATTGTTTACGACACTTTTTGCCTAATGCCATAAAAAGTAACTTGCACCTACCTAGCTTAGTGACATTGTTGAAAAAATGCCATTGCTACTAAAGTTTAGTGACATCTGTTGATAAATGTCACTAAACAAATTTCTTAGTATCATTCTTTTTATAAAATGCCATAAAATTGATATGACATTTCTTTATTGAAATGCCATTAGAGCCTTGTATGTTTGTGGTTCAGTGGCATTTTTCTAAATGTGTCACTGAATATTTTTTTCGTGGCATTTTCTAAAAACATGCCACTAATATAGTGTCACTAAAATGTGTTTTTGTTTTAGTTTTGTGACACTTATTTATTAAAATGTCACTAGAGCCTTTTATGTTTGTCGTTTAGTAACATTTTTCAAAAACGTGCCACCAAATATTATTTTTTGTGGCATTTTCTAAAAATATGCTACTAGTGTAGTGCCACTAAAGTGTATTTTTGTTGTAGTGTCAATTTTGATATTTTGAATTGTTCATTTGGTAGGACCATCCTTATATATTTATTCATGAAAAAAATTAGCTCAATATGCTAGTTGTAACTTTTCATTTACTGTGTTTATCTCTAAAAAATGAATGATAAATATATTTTTGAAAACGTCCATTTTTTTTCAAAAATAAACATGACAAAATTACAAGGTTACAATTATCCGATCAAATTAATTTATTTCATGAATGATATATACGGAGTGCCTTACAAGATGAATGGTTTGAATTATCAAAACGAGACTTGTGGTAGAGCCAACGGGCCCCTTCAATTCTTTCTCATTCATCTTTAAACTTGAGAGAAATCCAACTCTAATATAAATTGTGTTTGATAAGCATACTAATGGTAAGCCACCTGATGATCAATCCACAGGTAGCGCAACATCGACAAGAGGTAGTCTAGCTAAAGGACCTATCATTTTGGTCTTTATATAATACCAGTAGTCTCTACATTTTTCACCTTGTGTTATTTTAGTCCCTACATTTTTAATTGGTTCACTTTTGATTCTTAATTTTAGATTTTATATCAATTTGGTCCAATTGATAATATTGTTAGTATTTTTTTTTAAAAAAATATCACTAAATTGGTTGAGATTAACTCATTGAGTTAATTTTATAATTTTGTCCTTAAAAATATGAAACGTGACACTTATATGTGTATTTTTTTTTATAAAAAATTGTAAGAATTGTAATCAATTGAACTAAATTGATACAAAATCTAAAATTAAAGGTCAAAATTGAGATAATTGAAAACGTAGAAATCAAAATGACACGAGATAAAATGTAGAAACCACCGAAGTAATTTGCCTAATAAAAAAAGAAAACATGACACTTTTCAAAAATTTTAGAACACTTTTCATTAAAATATTTTTCACTCCAAATTTGATGTTCAACTATAACGGTTTCGATTTTGACCCGATCCTTTTCATGCTCTTAGATTCGGGATTTCATACCTTTAATTATTGTTTATGCCCTTTAACATCTTGTTGATAGTTGAGTTGAATTGTTGGTTATGTTTGAAACAGGTTGGGATCAATAGAGTTGCTGTTTGTTTCACTTTTGATTCGCTTGAGTGATGCTTTGGTCGCTCAAGCGGTGTTTAAGATCTCTTAGCATTTTTGAAGACTTGTAAAACTTCTAGGAATAAGTGATCTTCGCTCGAGCGGTCTTTTGCAAGTCGAAACTTCTGGATGGGGTCATTGTGCGTTCGAGCAGTGTTTTGGTCGCGTGAGTGGTGTCACTTATTGTGTTTGACGCTTGAGCGATAGTTTGGTCACTCAAGCGGTCTGTGCATATATTAGTTCGGAGAAAAAAGGGTTTTTGTTGCTTTTTCACTTCCTCTCTCTCTTTCTAAAACACCCTTAACCCTAATTTCTTCTTCTTC